GGGGTCGTCCCTTCCCTCACCCCCGGGGTCCCCTCCCCGTCTCTCCCAGCCAGCGGGCTCTCACAGCAGTCAGTGCACTCCCAGCTCAGAGATTCAATTTAAAATACGCATCGGGAACTGTAAATCTACCTGCACAAGACCAGCCTTCAGGGGTTGTGTGTGTGTACGAAGCTGCAGAAATAAATAAATTAATGGATTTGTGGGTGGACTGAGTGAAATAACCAGTTTGGATTCTGGTTTTTCACTGTGGAATTCACCACCAGAGTCTCGTGCTGCCTCTTGTCACGAGAGCCCGTGACGGCCGTAAAACTGGCAAAGGGGGAAACACTAAAAGCACAGAGCCCTTCACCTTCTGAATCCCCTTCAGAAGTGTCCCGAGAGCACTAAAACATTTGCTGTTTCTGAAAACACCCCCCGAGGCTGTTCCCACCAGCCCTCAGCTGGGACGGGCGTGGAACACGCTTCTGGCTTTGCCCCATCAGTGTTACCAGCGCTGCCTGGATGAAATTCATGTGGAACTCAGAGTGTCCCTTTAAATGAGACTTTTTTCTGACTTCATTTTTCTCCTGGGCTGCTCGTGTGATGCTGTTTTCCTCCTTTTGGTGTGTTTTCATTTGTAGCTCAGTGTCTGTTCCTGAGTGCTTCTAGTTTTCCATCCTGAAAATACTACACCCGTGTTTAAAATGCTCCGTAGGAACTGGCTGACTTTCATGTATGTTCAGCTGAAGCACAGTTTTATGGAATTGGGACCTTAGTTATTAGCAGGTTACAAATTAATAAAGTATCACTCAACAAATAAAAAAGTCAGGGATCAGAGCTCTTGAGTTGATCATGTGGGTCAATTTCCAATTTAATAAATGTTAAGAAGGGCAGCTTGAATTGAAATATTAATGATGTCACGTGGCTTCTTGTAGACAATCCCCATCTGGCAGAACAAACCCCATGGCTCGGCACGCAGCGTTGTCAGGAGGATTGGGTCAAACCTCCCTTTAAAACCCTGTCCCAGAGCAACCTTTGAGGTAAGTGCACTCCTAAGGGGTTTGGTGATCGTGTGTGGGAAGCTGCTGCTCTTGAGCTGGACAAGGCACTGTCACGAGCTGCTGGTCTACAGAGCTGGATTCACGAAACTCATGTAGCAGTAGAGTTTTAAGATTTTTATTTTATTATTATTTTTTAAATTCTGTTCTTATAAAGAGAGCGCTGGCAACTTGAGGAAAATAACCTCCTCAGACAGGGTCTGTGGACTGAGTTAGTGTGCTAGAGGAGACAGAAACCTGGCGTTGCTGAACACGTGCTTTGTTGTGTGACCTTCAGCAAGCCACGTGCCCTCTGGGCCTGTGTTTCCTAAACAGTAAAACCAGGTTTATGGAAACGTTTTACGTCACTGCTTAAGCTCAGGGACAGCGATGGGACCATGCAAAGTGTTGCACGTGGCCTTGGCAGCGTCCGGAGCTGTATCAAGTGTCCCTTCTGCTCAGCCTCAGAGCACAGGGACGCACCAAAGAACACGTGGAGAAGCTGACAGATGGAAGAGCTACGTTTCCATAAGCCAAGTGGCACTGCTGTCGCTCCCCTGGCGCTGCTGTCACACCTCTGACAGATGCAGCTGCCGACCTGGTGTGGAGGAGAAAGGCTCTGACAGCCAGTGCAGCACATCTGGGGTGGCTTCAGCAGACAAGACCATCATCTCCTTAACCTAACTTTCTTCTTTGTAGGTTCTACCCAACGTTTCGGAGCTCTATTTAAATGACGTCCCTCCAGTCCCCACCTTGGCAGACGTTGTGTGGATAGCAGCAGATGATGAAGAGACGTACGCCAGAGTCAGGTTGGTTTCCTCTCTGTGTCTGCTGATCCTTGCTTTTATACACTGGTTTATGTCGCACAGGGTAGGCCAGACACTGATCAAATGATCCCAACTTCCAGTCCTCTCGAGGTCTGATGTGGTGCCTGTTGAAAGGTGTTTTTCCCAAGAGATAGGAAAAAAAATTGGACAAAGGGCCCTGGGATGAATTCCTGTAGGAAGTGCCAAGAGCCAGTGCTGTGCCGTATGTTACTGGTGTATCTACACAGATTTACAAGGTCTGTGCAGAGTAATTCCCCAATCTGTGATATTTTCTGGTTTAAAAGTTGAAGATTTGAGTTCTCCCAGGATTGAAACACTCTGTCCCTAGGAATTTGGTTCTGGTCACTTCAACTTTTGTCCCTAAGGCAGGGCAATAGCAACAGGTGTCTTGTGAAAGATAAAATGGACTTTGAAATCAGAGGCAAAAGTTAAGGGGTAAGTGACATTTGCCACGTGCCCCCAGGGCACTGCCGGGTGCAAAGACACAGTTCCCAGGAGGGAAATAACTGGAACCACGTGAGCACACCCGGGTTTCTGTTCCTGTGGCCTCTCACATCTTGTGCCTTTGGGTCACGATTTCTGTGACCAGGTTTGTGTTCCTTGTGATGCAGAGAGAGCAGACGCAGCGGCACGGCGCGTCTGTACGGTGGTACATACAGCACAGAGGCTTAATTCAGTGTTGAAATCTTCTGCTGCCCTGAGGTGGAGGCAGAACATCGTTGTCACAGAGGGGTCTGGACCTTGTAAATGACCAACAGTTTTTTGCCCTGTAGAAGCGACACTCGCCCGCTGAAGCACAAGTGGAAGCCGAGTCCCTTCACTGTTATACAGCGAAATGCTTCAGTCCCCAACCTGAGGAAGCAGGAGGAGAAGCTGCTCGCCTTGAAGAAGCCTGGCTTACCAGCACTGAGCCGAACAACAGAGCTCCAGGATGAGCTGAGTCACCTCCGGAGTCAGATAGCTAAAATAGTCGCTGCAGAGTCAGGTAGGACTGTAATGACGTTCTGTTTTGTTAAACGAGAATCGCAGAATCCCAGACTGGTTTGGGTGGGAAGGGACCTTAAAGCTCATCCAGTTCCACCCCCCTGCCATCAGCAGGGACACCTTCCACTAGACCACGTTGCTCAAAGCCTCATCCAACCTGGCCTTCAACACTTCCAGGGAGGAGCAGCCACAGCTTCTCTGGGCAACCTGGGCCAGTGTCTGAAGGGCCGAATTCGTGAACCGTGTTGTTTCCTCACACAGAGGAACAGACTTGCCTGTTGTTTTTCCAGCAGAGCCGTGGCTCTCGTTGGTGAGATGTCATCTTTGGTGTCAGCTCAGTGCCCTTTCTGTGTTTAGATGTTTGTATCTGTTTCTTTGGAGGATTCCAGCTTGTTTGTAAGAAATACCGAGTCCAGCTTTGTTGACAGCATTTGATCTGGAGGCCAACTCATCTCAAGCACCTTGTTTCATGAAAACATTTGGTGTGTTCTTGCTTTTTTTTGCTCCAAATCGGCCAAGAGCGCGAGGGTTTTGTCTTGATTTGGGTAGGAGTGAGGTGTTAGTGTTTGTTTCTGTTGTGAAAATGACATTTTTGTAGCAGGTGAGGTATTTGGGGAAGAGCCAGCTGAACTGATGTATTTCTTTCTTTTAGTAAAATTGTGCTCAGTTAAAAGCCGTGTTTTAGCCACAAAGCTGAACTGTGAGGAAGGACTTTTTACTTCTCTCCTTCCCTGGCTTGTCCTGTATACTCAGCTCTGAAAATACGACAATATTTGGTAGGATTCAACCCAGGTGGTTCTACAAGTTGCTGCAGCAGTGGCTGGTTTAGAGCATGGAAACTAGTACGACAGAAATATCCTGGTATCATCATTGATGGCGTATTCGGAAAGCAGAGTTGTTGATCTGCCAACTCAAAAAACATTTGATCAGCTTTGCAAACTAAAGGAATTTAGTCCTTTTGGAAAAGTTTTTCTTACAAGCTGCATTTCTTTTAGGTAGGACACTTTAACCAGTAACCAGGGTGACCGCTGTGTTACGGGAAGGACCTGTAATTCTTCCCATTACTTTAAAAAAAAGAAAGGGCATTATGTCACACTTGAAATTCTACCAGGCGGGTTAATTGCTGTTTCCGATGGGCAGTGGTGGCTGATGAAACCCTCCTTATCCCACATCTGAACGCAGATATTTTCTTACATTCCCCGATCGCTGCTTTGCGCTGCGGAGCGTGTGCACGAGAGCAAATCCCTCGTGATCTGTGACAGACGATGTGATTGTCCTGTTGCTGGAGCCCCAAGGGACTTGCAGCTCTAACAGCTGCTTATATTTAGTCCAGCTCTCCGCGAGCTGTGAACGTGAAATGGAGTGTCTGAGTGGAAATGCTGGTTTCTGCATGAGACCCGGGTTCTTTTTCAGTTCCATGTGATGGTCAGTGGACTCGTAAGAATCTGTTATCAGTAGTGTAAATATATAGGATATGCTGCTACATGAGCATGTATTTGATGGTTTGTGGCATGTGGAGTTGTATTTAGATGAGGTATTCGTGGTAAAGGGCTGTTGTCAGATTATACACGCGCCGGTTCTTGTCACCTTTGGTCCTGTCAGGGGACACAGGACGCCACACGCCTCGACTCCTGCAGCAGCGCGGTGAAATTAAACTGCTCTGGGGGTGAGGGAGCCGCGTTACCCTCAGCGCTGCAGGGAACAGGCGTGGAACAAGGCGTCACAGATGTCCCCTTCAGAGGCTGCGTGTGTCCTCTTTCTTCTTCCTGCAAGATCAGAGGAGCCAAATTGGAATAAAGACGGGAAATTCTGGACTTTTTTCCTTCTATTTTCCATCTCAGCTCTCCAGTTCCTCACGCTGTGTGCTAGAAAAGTCCATTTTAATTCCAGAAGAATAATAACGAGGAAAATGAGAGATCCAGGTGGGAGAAAAATGATTTAATTATTTAATACCTTTTTCTCTCCCTCTCTGCTCAGCAGTGGGCCTGGCTGTTATCAGCTGGCGTTTGAGAACAGTTCCTATCGACTTTGCGTCCTCTGAGTCAATAATGGGGAGCGGTGATTTAGGGCCGAGCTGCAGCTGGGTGATCTGATGGAGGAGATAACTCCTCAGCGGGCTTATTTTGGAAAGACTGATGTCAAAAAAGAAATATTGTGCAATCTGCTTTATTATATAGTGTTAGAGAAATCCCTTAATTGGAAATTGATAACTATCTACAAGTTACTCTCGAGGCCAGGGGCATTGGTGCTTTACGGTGCAGTTTGTTTTCAATACACGAAGGTTCTTTCAAGATGCACTAAGCATTTTTCTGGGTTTTTGGTTGTTTTCCCTGAGCGTTTTACACTAAATTACACTGGAAATATCGAACTCATTTTCACTTAATAACACTTGGAGTTTATAGAGCTGTTCTTATCCTCACTGCATTTTAAAGCGTGAGCAAGTAAATCCCATCAGCTCCCCTGTGGAATAGGTGGATGCTGCTCTCATGTTCCAGATGGTGATGGAAAGCAAAACAGGTGGGACTGCCTGCAGCCAGGGCGGGAACCGCTGTGACGGGGCTGGAGCTCCTGCACCAGCTCTGCATTCGCACAAGGCATCGTGGCTCTGGGGGAGGGAGCCTGAGAGGAAAGGAGAGGCGAGAGGTTCGCAGGGTGGTGAAGAGGAGAAAAGTTAGAACAAAGCCCAGTGTTCTGACACAGGCTCCCTCTGTGTCCCTGAGCAGCAGCTCAGTCTCTTTTCCTCCATTTCTTACCTCTAAAACCAGAAAAAGTGATCATTACCCAACTTCCGCAGGGACCGGGCGCAGTGTGTGACCTGGAGGGGTGACAGGCACAAGGAACAGACACACAAGGGGGTTGGTGGGATAAAAGGTGCTGGAGAAGGTCTTGTGTAGTGTCACGGGAAGCAGAGTGGGCATGGAAACAGAGCACATGGTGAATTTGTTTCCTCACAGCATGAGGAGGCTGGTGATGCCTCGTGATTTATGTTCTGTTGTTTTGGGGAAAAAAAATCACCTCCATGGTTTGGTACAAGTTCATTTATCCACCCGTACTGTGTTCTCTTTCAGCTTCTGCTGCATTAACACCAGATTTATTATCTCCTGGAAGTTCAAATGCTTCTTCTCCTGTACCTTGTTTTGGACCCTCTTTCCAGTCTACAACGTCCTTTGTCATTAGCGATATCACAGAGGAGGAGGCAGAACTCGACAGCCCCGAGCTCCCGTCGGTCTCTCTCCTTTGTTCTGCGACCTCCGAGTGTTTTAAACCAGAACCAAAGGATCCTGACGAGGAAGATTCCGTGTCTCTTTCAAAGGCCAGCAGCTTTGCAGACATGATGGGGATTCTTAAAGACATTCATAGGATGAAGCAGAGCAAAGACTTGTAAGTGCTTCTGAACTCTCTTGGTTTTTATCTATTTTTTTTGCCTGCCAAATCACTGTCGATGCTGGATGCTGCATTCACAGCTCCTTGGTGCTGCTCTGTATTCATGATCTGGGGTGAAAATAGCTGTTTATAGCAGAACTTTCTCACACTTCACATTTCTGAGTGGTTTTTTCATGGCTTACCTGTCTGGTTAGAAGCAGTGGAGGGGAACTTAAACCAATTAGCTCAATATTGGACTGTTTCAGTTGTCCACCTGAAAAAAACAACCTTGTGTGAAAGCACATATCCCTTGTACAGCAAAATTCATGGGAAAAATAACAGTTCCAGGCCTTCAACTCAAACACAGCACCAAACACAGCACCACTCGTAGATTTATAGTGAGGAGACGTAGGCTGTAAACAACTAATGAACTTTTATTTTACTTACTTGTTATTAACAGAGTTGAATAAATTACAAAGAGCTTTAATGCTGAGGGGTTTTTTTTCAGGATACCCCTTGATCCACAAAACGAGCTCCAGGTTATCTAAGCCAACATAAAAGAGCTGAAATTTTAGCTGCTTTTTCTTGGTTTGTGTTGTTGTTCTTGCATCAGACAAAAGCCAGTGATCAGTGCTGCAGAAAAACACTTTAAAGTCTCCAAGCAGAGCTGTAAAGCCCTTCTCCTCACTAACACACCGCACTTCTGTCTTGTGCAGAAACCGAACTGCAGCGAAGGAGGAAGACCCGGCCGTGCTTATCGCAGAGGTTCTGAGGAGAAAGTTTGCCCTCAAGGACGAAGACCTGTCCGTGAAGGAGAAGTGATGTTACTGACATGATTAAACTCCATAAGCAAGAGTGCTGCGCTCCCAGAATTTTCTCCGCGGTAGCTGCCTTCCTAAGGCCCGAGCCTTTTGCCTCTCTGATGGATTAGGAATGGTTTCTGCACTGGACACTTAGGAAAGACCTCACAGATTTGATGTGTTTTCCATGTATTGTTTTATTTAAGCAAAAAAAAAACCAAAACTTTTTAAGAAGATGGGAATTGTTTTCCACTTGTATTTTGCTGTTGATTATTGATAAGGATCTTGTGAAGAGTATAACGAGTGCTGCTGGCTGACCTTCTTTCTACCGTTCAAATGAAGCATTAACTTATAACGGTCTTGTTACACTAGAACCAGTTACCATTTCCAGTATAACCGGCTGTCGAACATCCAGCTCTTCCTCTGGTCTGAGTATGGTACAGAGCTAATGAGAATAAGCTAATTAATGCTTCCAGGTCATCAGTGTGTAGGAGGTGGGTGAGGCAGTGGTAAAAGGTGTCTTCCCGATAACTGGTAGGATCAACCCGCAGTCACGTTGACGGGACGCTGGCTGGTTTAGAACACCCTGAGCATTTCTTAACTCACAAATAACCCCACAGCTGCATGACAGAATGGCCTTAATTTCTTGCCAGTAATTTAATGTTTCATTAATAGTCCTTGTATTATTCAGATATAATGTATTTTATTTAGCATTCAAAAGGTCTATTTATTGAACCACCCAGGCTAAGAACCGAGCACCCACCACACGACCTGGCACCTGAGAAAAGGGAAGAAGGAACCTGGCGTTGTCTGTGGCTACAGGGCTCACTGAAGAGGTTTCCTTCAGCTCCACGTTCTCTGCAGTTCCTCATGGCTGTGTTTAAAGTATTAATATTTTTTTTCCCTTTATATAAAATGGAGCCTTAATAAGACAAGTGTTGTGTTTGATATTATTAATGCACAGATGTCTAAACACAGCAGCAGTGGTGCTTGTATCTCGGGGAGGGGTGGAATTGCAGCTGCTACAGCTCAAGGGCTGGCTGGTGACTGTAGTCAGATGCCAAGGGTTTTCTTAATCCACCAGGCCCCCAGCCTGGAAAAATTAAACCATCATCCCCACTTGAAAAGTGAGAGAAAAGGGGTGTAGTGCCTCTGGCCGCCCAGTGTGTGAGAGCTGAAGTAGCATGTATGATTTATATCAGTTTTATAGGGAGTTGCTACAGCTCTCCCCCTCTCAGCTGCACACCAAGAGCCTCTGGATGATACAATCGTTCTCCCTGTCCCAATAAAGCTCCTCTGCATAAGGATTCAGTGGGAATAACCTGCCAAGAGTCCCTGTTCCTGGACACGTGCTCCATGTGCAGGCTGGATCTAAGAGCCTGTCACAACAGTTAAGTTCTGGACTATGACATAACTCCACCTGGGGCTGTGGTACCAAAATTCTGGCCCAATGGGAAAGTAAATAGAGCTTAATGGCAACACAGTCCCAAAGATGGAGAGTGCATCTAAAAACCAGATGTACAAACAAGAAAAAAATAAAACTGACAGAGCAGGCTGGTGTGTGGGCACAGGTGGACTCTGGTGCTCGTGTCCCCCGGGGTGTGTCCCTGCACTTCACCCCAGATCCACTGTAAAGCACACCCAGCTGGGGATTGTGCTGAACGAGCCCTACAAGCAGCAGTCAGGAAGCACCGGTGCTGTTAGTGCCACACAGTTAAACCAGTACTGACCAGTTCTTACTCCAGCCCAGAGCCCTCACTGGGCCCAGCTGACACACGAGCTGGGGCTGTAAGCCCTCGCAGGGACACCCCGCTCCACCCAGGTGCATCCCCATCTCTGAAACAGCTCAAGTCCAACCTCAGGATCGCAGCTCAGACTTACCCAATCCCTCGTGTCACACTCTTCCTGGCTTTACACCTCTGCCCAGTCTGGCAGCAGCAGTCGAGCGCTGTGCCCCCCCCTGCCGAGGAGCATCTTCCACAGACACACACTGAAACACATGAACCTCCCCTTGCTGTCACCCCAGCTGCGACGCACAGGGGCTGGCACAACCGCGGCGCGGAGCTGAGCCTGGTACACGCCCAAGGCAGCTGATGTGGAGTAGGCAGTGGGGCTCCTGAGCTGAGCCCAGGAAAGCTTTAAATTTGGACTTCCAGGATCCTACGAAACACAACAGGAACAGGCGCTTTCCGGCTGAACAGCAGCACGTTACACTAAGACCAGGCAGTACTACAGCATCGTCATGATGGAAACAGTCAAACCATGCTAAACACACTCCTTCTAAATTTTATTTTTATTAAAGCAAAATCTCAAAGAACAAAGAGGGCCTGCCTAGTGCATGGCTCTCCTGCACGTGCCACACAGACCATATCTATACAAACACCGGGTACACCTACCCAATTCTGACCGTGTTCTTACAAAAAGTGCTTTCCTGAGGCTTCCCAAGAGGTCCTTATGCGACTCCCTCAGGGTCACTTACCAGTGTTTGATCACTCTGTTCCCTTCCGAATCCTGGGTGAACAGTAGCTCACAGCACACATCTACCTGCTCCCCCGCTTTGCTCAAGCTCCTGCTGGCAGCAGCGCTGGGAGAGCCCTTGGGCAGCCGCCTGCCAGAGCTCCCGCCGTCCTTGCGAGGAGATGGGACATGGGGGCAGCGGTGGGCGATCACCCTGTTCCCCTCGGAGTCCTGGGTGAAGAGATCCCTGCAGGGGCTGCTCAGTCCCCTCGTGCTGCCCCGTCCCTCCTCGGCTGCAGCAGCACCAGCATTCTGGCTGCGCTCTCTCAGAGGCCGGGCTCCCGCTGGGCTCTGTGGAGGTGAACAAAAGCCGACAGCCCAGGTACTGTCTCTCCTTACAGCAGGATTTATATTCTCAGTGTCACTGAAATCAATTACAGAATTAACACTACTCGATTGCTGTCGTTTCTTATTCTGCTTTGCACCAAATCTTGGTTGGAAATCAAGTCCAGTCTTCACCTCCTCCAGGTGCAGCCGCCCCTCTCGTCTGTTTATCCCGCGGTCTGACGTTACGCTGCTGCTTGCAAATAAATCCGACCCATTTCTGTGAGCGATGATCCGGTTGCCCTCTGAATCCTGGGTGAAGCTGAAGGAGCAACAATCCTCTCCTGCCCCACAGGAGCCTTCACTCTCGCTGTGGGACTCCACTTGTAACAAGGAAGATTCTGGCCCAGGAGTCGGCGAGGCCGGTGGTTTCGGTGGGCAACGCTGGGCTGTAACCGGCACCGTCTCCTCCTGGGCTCTGCAGGATTGCTGCTGGGCTCCCTCCTCCTGGGCTCTGCAGGATTGCTGCTGGGCTCCCTCCTCCTGGGCTCTGCAGGATTGCTGCTGGGCTCCCTCCTCCTGGGCTCTGCAGGATTGCTGCTGGGCTCCCTCCACCCGCGGCAAAGCCAGGATCTTCACAGGATAAACAGGCAAAGAAACACCTTTGTCTTTACAGTCTCTCTTTGGGATGAAGGGAGATGGACTGGAATTTTCTTTGTCTTTTTCATCTGAAAACAACAGGGAATTGGATAAAGCCAGAGCTGACACAGACATTGCTCAGGGTTAGTCACTACCCACAGCACCATTCCCTGATGGAACCGCAGCATTACTGCTCTGCTGAGTAGCACCACACAGACTGTTCTACACCGACTGACAATAAAAATAACCATCACAATAAAAACATTTCTGGGAATTCAAACCTTCAACCTTTACCCTCTTCACTAGAAAATGTCTTTTTCTGCCTAGTAAAGCTGCCAAGAAATAAAGCCAGATGAGTTTCCTGTTTACAGCCTGGAACTACTTTGAAACTACCTTCCTCCAGCGGCGTACAGGGGTCTGCGTTACCTGTCTGCGTGCCGAAGAAGGCGGAGATGGTGGTTTGCCTGGTGCGTGGCAGAGATGCTCTTGGCTGTGTGAAGGTGACCCAGGCATGCTTCCTTTCCAGAACTCGACTGGATACTTTTGGCTTGGCTATGAGAGACTGGGTAAGGAAAGAAACAAGTGGAAAGTGAATATATGCCATTAATAACAGTTCTACCCTTATTCCAGGGTAATGGCACAGTTCAGACCTTTATTAAATGCTTCAACTCTTCCTGTGACAGCTCCACAGAATGGCCGAGTTGGGAGGGGCCCATAAAGGTCACCTTGTCCACCCTCCCTGCTCACGCAGGATGCTCAGGACCACGGTCGGCATGGTGCTGCGCTGTCTGAGCTTTGCTAACGCCATCCCACCCCTCTCACACCTCCTGAAGTGCTTCTGCCTCACACCCAACTCCCACCCAGCCTTTCCTCGGTGTCCCAAATCTGGGTTCTGCCCCCGGTGTGCAAAGCCAATAGACAGAAAGTCGAGATATTTGTGTTATTCCTGTCTGCGCAGAGGTGGGTGCTGCTGGTAACGCACACGGCCCGCGCACCTGAGTGCCATCAGGGTACAGTCACACAGCTGCAAACGGTTAGTAACGCCTCCCGGTAACATCTACCGTGTCATCAGGGATTAATTTCGGTTCTACTTTGGTTTAAGGTACAAGACTTTCTAAATTCCCTCCGTGTGCTCAGTGAGGGGTGGGTTTATGTGAGCAGGGGGCTTGTTCTGCTCTAGAGGTGAGTTTTAACCACGCTGATGTGGCTGGTTCATAGTTTTGGGGGACTCAGCCAAGGATGTTGTTTTCAGCCCCGTGTTTTGTAAGCCATGGTCCCCAGATGGCTCCTTATCTCACCGCATCTTACCCCAGAACAAACAAACCCCACCATTTCCGTC